TTCTTCTTCGGTTGAACATTCCTAAGATCCGAGAAGAACAACAACAATGATCACCCAATGAAAATTATTCTCATTGTTTCGAGTCATATTAGTCCTAATGTCTATCTATCATTGAAAATCATAATAAGATCACGTAGTATTTTGATGTAATTCATTTTTCTTTAGACAGAAAACAAAACGACATTTTTAAATGTTTTTCCATACCCTTTACCGATGAGAAAAATTTCTGTTTGTGCTATGAAATGGAGAAAGAATTCATGTAAAGCTCCTCTTCTCATTCTCTTTCATTAGAAAACAATACATCGTAAGTAAGAAAAGAACTACATAGTGTGTTAGGTTTTCTCTCTTGTTCGTCAATATCCAAGTATAGTGTACACCAAGATGCATAATCTCTACATTTTTTTTCTATTATTGCCAATCTTGTAATAGAAATGAACAATATACAATATTGTATTTTTCTTCCTTTTTGTGTTTCATTTCCAAAAAAAAGAGATATACATAAACATTAAAACAATTATTTCTAGTAAGTCGTCACTAATTCCAATCACCAATAAGATTATTATATAGCTCCTACATCTATGAAGAGATAAATCTCATCATCGTCTGATGAAAAAGAAAAACAACGATGAACTGAATTCCATCTGTTTTCACCTATTTCGAATCAAACAAAAAGAAATTCATTCTGTGTCTCTAGATTTTCGACATGAAATTTTAGTTTATTTTTGTTTCTCGTCAATATCATATATAGTTAATCAGAGTCTAGTTTTCTTTTTTCACTCAGAATAAAAAAACATTACATGAACAAGATTTCTTTTCTTCACCAATATAGGAGATCCGTTGTGCCACCGTTTTCATTGCAAGACAAATGAAATTAATTGTCTCTAATCCCCCTACAGTTGCTACTATTTCTGACTCTCCTGAAAAAAATATCCTACATAATGACCGAGAAAAATTCCATATGTTTTCATCTATTTCGGATCCAGCAAAGAAAATTCATATTGTCTTTCATTAGATTTGAGACATAAAGTTTTAGTTTATTTTTATCTATCTTCAATGTCACATATAGTTAATCATTTTCTAACTTTGTTTCGCAACTCATAATGAAGAAAACATATTCCATGAACAAAATATTATCTCTTTCTATCTCTCAATGTTCATTGATTAATATCATTGTAATCATCAATCTGTCACCGAATGCACGATCTCAGTATTTTATTCAGTGAATCATGAAGGGTGTGGATGTGCCTATTGCTATTCTGTACACCCACACTCTCAAGTGTTTTTCTCCATTTGGTGCATGTCGGTCAGTCATAAGCAGGTAATAAGTAAATGAAAACATGGGAAAAAATCAATGAAAAATTCGTTATAAACATAACGAAAAAACAACCCAAAACAGGGAAAGAATATACGAGAAAGTGGAGATATAATGTAACTTATGTTTAATTTTTTACCAGCAAGGTAATGAAGATGATAAGATAAAAAGTCTTTTTTTCCAAACACGAAAAGAAGCAGCAGTTTCTTTTGTGTGGGTGTGGATGTGGGTGGGTGTGGGGTGTGGGTGTAGGTCCTCTCTTCATCTACATCTACACACCCACACCCACACCCTCATCTGTTTGTTTTAAGTTACTATTTTTCGTATACTGACTGTTTTAGAATTCTAATATCTGGTTTTCTGAAAAATGCATTTATAAAATGCAGTAGCTCATGGTAGTACTACAGTGGCAAAAAATGAATATTTAGAAAATTTTACAGAAGCTTTTCAACAGGAAGTAATTCATCAGTAATCATGTTCAAAATATCGGAGACATTCTTTTTCTCACGATTGTGACAGAGCTCTCAGTGGAGAGGTAGTTCCATTCGGTAAGCGTCATTGCCTTCACTGTAATAATCAGTGAGCAATTCGGTAAAATGAAAGCCGCTTGTCACATAAAGGTTGATAGCTCGGGTGTTCGCGACGTGAACCTCCAGTTCCATCCATGCAGCGCCCCATGTGTCTCGAGCATACGCAATTATATGGTCAAGTAGCCGGCGTCCATAGCCTTTACCATGCATCTCCGGATGAATACCGATGTTGACAAGATGTGCTCCATATCCCGTCTCTGTCAGAGATATACGTGCAACGCAATAGCCGATAAGCGTGCCAGTTTCTTCAGCCTCGACTATCCAACAATTTGCGTTCAAGTCATTCAGTGCATTCGCAAAATTTGTAGACAACCATGGGTGCAGAGGCGCAACAATTTGCTCTATCCTAGCTATTTGATCAATGTCAGAGTCGAGCATGCTGCGGATGTATTCTGACGATTTTGCTGCAGTCTGGGCGCTCATGTTTTGTGTTTGGATGTGTGATGCTTTGGAAGTGACAATGGTGTAACTTAATGAGTAATGTGAAAGGAAGAATGTGTGATTACACAATAACAAGCCAAGTTTCACCATTTCTCTAACAACTCTCTGCTCCATTTATTGACATAAGGCTGATAAAACTGGGTGGAAGTGCTTCGACGAGAATGAGAAAGGGGTGAATCATCGTTGTTAAGCTTATTCATGATTGCAGTGGCATTTGTCAGCGAGCTTGATTACTTGCGCCAACTACAACGTATTTTTTGAGAATAAAAGTTATCTACCAATACAACGAAAATGAGTATTGCTACTATTACCAAGTCAGACAAACAGCCAAGAAAAACGCATATTAATGTACTGAAATTTTATCAACAAAAAAATCGTAAAAAGGTGCGCTTTTTACAATCTTGCTGTCGTTAAAATTTTGACTCATTATAATGCGTTTTTCTTAGTTGTTTGTGTGGGTGTGGGTGTGGGTATGGGAGTGTGAGTGGGGTATGGGCGTGGGTGAGGGTGTTGGAGGATGGACTTTGTATTCATCACAGTCACACTGGCACTCAGACCCACATCCTATTGTCTACCACTAGAGGGCATAAAACTGATGTCGCTTTTTCGTCCAAACTTGACATGAACATGCCCAATGTAGTGGAGAGAATATCGTCACCAACACTAATCTCACATCCACACCGATTTGGAAAAGTATAAATGCATTAGGAAAGGAGCAGTATGCTATGCTTAAGTATCAAATGACTTGAACACATATTGAGGTCAAATACTTAATCTTTCCTAGAGATGAAATTTAAGAAAAAAATCGATGGTTTCTTCAGTAATTAAGTGTCGATGCAGTCAGTATATGCTGTTCATGGTCAAAAACTTCGATAATGCCATATAAATTTATTTCAAAGTTTGTTGAACTCTCTCGCTATCGTTGTTTTACTACTGCAATTAGATGATAGACGCCTTAGACATTAGTGAATGAAGCAAACCGATGTTGAATAAAAGCATACGAGATGTGTGTTATGTGATATGGGAAAATCTTCGACACTTCTCGTCTAATATATTGACTTTGTTTGTTTAGATTAATTCGTTGAGACAATAAAAAATACTAAATAAATCATTTTGACGATCTTGAGTTCTTTTGTACGTTTTTACAAAGACTGAATTTTCGATTTATGTGAAACCTTTCACAGACGAGCATGTTTTGGGAGAAAGAAGAAAGATAAAGAGAAGGCTCGTTTTAGTTTTACAGCACATACTCTCGGTCTGATACCTGAAGAACTCATAGATAACGAAATAAAAGCACACTGTTTGACGAAACGACCACCATTCATTTGTAAGAATTCAACAGGATTGTGAGTGTTATCTTTATTTATCAACATTCAACTCTATAAAAGTCGATTTGGTAAAGCATTTTTTTTAAATTAACTACCTAGTGCATACAAGGAAGACACAAGTAATATGTTTAATACCAAAAAATTTTCTTTAATGACACCAATCTAAGTATTTATTTAAACATAATAAAAGATGTGGCCACATGAAAAGCGACTATGTTACTCTCTCTAAAACTTTGCTTTCTTTTTTGATGAAAAAATACTTAAATTCATAAGATAAAGCTTCTAAGAGAATCCGCTATTGTACAATAAAACACAACTTATTCAAAATAATTTTTGAATTTGAGGATGTGATAGAAGTATGACTAATAAGACATATCCTTTTACATTTTCAGATATATATGTATTTGTCCAGCAATTATTGAAGTTATTCGTACTTTCAAGATGGCCGTGAACGAAACAGAAGAACAATTTAAATATCGAACTTTACGATTGAGTGGCATTGCTAAAGAGTCACACGAGGTCTTAATACCTATCAGTGGATGTGAGAATATACCACTTGTTTCTCTGGAAGAGTCTATTGAGCCGCTTGTCTCTCTTCTTCCATCTATCGGCATATATGCTAATCTAGCTAAACAAAAATATGACAAGTCAGATGATTGTTTGTCACTAGATGAATCAGCTGCGAACATTCTTTATTCAATGAACTGGAAACCAATTGATGAATGTCTATATGTTGCATTGAATGCAGCTCTTCGTTCAAAAGACAGAGGGAATCTGATACCATGGTTTCTCTTTCTCAAACTATTTCTAACTGCACTTTATAAACTGCCATCTATTCCACGTCAAATCGTTTATGGAGGTTGCAGGTTTGACTTGCATACGTATTATAAAAAAGAAGAGACAATCGTATGGTGGGGTTTCTCAACTTGTACGACATCAAAAGAGACTTTAGAAATGGAAAAGATTTTAGGCACAACGGATCTCAGAACAATCTTCACCATCGATTGTTATTCAGGAAAAGATATTCGAAAATATTCTTATAATCCGTTGGAGAACGATAGACTTCTTCTGGGTGGAATTCAATTCAAAGTTGTTGATTGCACTGATAATGGTTCTGGCCTTCATATGATTCACCTAAAAGAAATTCAATCACCATTTGCACTATTGGACCGTCCATCAAGTGATTTTTCACAAAAGGACTCAATTCAGCGTAAGTTATTAATCGTCGTCATATTCAAGCATATTAAGAAGAGAAAGTTTATTGAATTGTTTTAATAAGATAGTAGATAAATTATGAACAGTTCAACGCTTGAAGTTTTACTTTTGTGACTTATGACATGTGGCATTATAGAAAGTTCAGAATCAGTTCATAATCTCTATTAGTATGGGTTTAGTTTTCTTTTGTTATAAACAAAATTGAGCTGCTAATTGAGTTTCGAATTAATTAGGTAGAAAATCAATTTTAATTCTAAAACGAAAAATAATCTTCAATAAAAATGTCAAATTTTTCTTAACGTATAGTTAATAAATGATACCTATTTGTATACTCTAAAATCTTACTGATTATATTACATTTTTTAGGTGGTTCAAAATCAACATCAAGAGATCAGGTCGTTCGAGCACGTGCTTTTGAAGATATTCCAGTAGGTGAATCTACTCCACCGAATTCAACAAAAGTCAATAGACCAAAATAACCAACCTCTGAACGTTAGAAGATTACTATATACTTCACTATTTTGTCGTATATCTTACAAAAAAAATTTTTCGTGATTCACTTATTCAACTATATGATTGTGACTTAGAATGAACAAATTATATTTTCCAGTGAAATTTGCTGTTCGCGATAAAAGATAATTCCCGTTTTGTTTTTAAATCAAAAGAAATTCTTAAATTCAGTCAATTCTTTAAAATACTTGGCATATTCATGTAGCTAGTAACACTAAAATCTTCTTCGTTTTTATTTTTCTCTATGCATGTTTAATGTTTTTCTTTTGAATTTACTCAAAATATTTCAAGATTTAAAAACTTTACACAATCTAGAAGTTTCCTATTTATCTATATCTCCCATCGCAAACAAGAAAATTTGAAAAATCTTCTTTCGAAAAACAATGACAATGGGACATTTTTTGAGCTCGAAAACGAATATTAGAAAGAAGCAAGTACATTTTCTTTTCAAAATCTATCGAAAGCGTGAGTTCTCCCACTAGTTTTGATATTGGAAACGGTCTTTTCTATCAAAGAAACATTTCATTTTTCTTCATTCAACCTGATACTTACAGATCTATCTTGATTGACACATGCTCAAACTCCCAAGAAACCACTTATTTGATAAGAAGAATAGTGCAGATAAAAACTAAGGCATTTTCCAATCACTTTTCTATGTTGCACATAAGTGGATTCTGACAAATACGCATTAGATAAGAAGAATACTTCCAAGATGCCAACGATTGTATGATTTAATTGCAGAAGAACTATTTAGAGACATGTTTTAATTTCTTTTTCTGAGCATGTTATAGTAGTGATTATTAAACATTTTGAAATGTTAGTTTCATATATGAATCTAGTTGAACATGTTATTTCTATCTACCTAGATGCATACCAACACTCACTACTTGACTGGCATTATGTT